ATCTCCTGAGAAACCTATATGTGGGACAGGAAGCAACAGTTAGAACTGGATATGGAACAACGGATTGGTTCAAAATTGGGAAAGGAGTACGACAAGGCTGTATATTGTCACCCTGCTTATTTAACTTATATGCAGAATACATCATGCGGAAGGCTGGACTGGAGGAATCCCAAGCTGGAATTAAGATTGCAGGAAGAAATATCAACAACCTCCGATATGCAGATGATACCACTCTGATGGCGGAAAGTGAGGAGGAACTAAAGAACCTTGTAATGAGGGTGAAAGACGAGAGTGCAAAAAACGGTCTGAAACTCAACATCAAAAAACTAAGATCATGGCCACTGGTCCCATCACCTCCTGGGAAATAGAAGGGGAAGATATAGAGGCAGTGACAGATTTTATTTTCCTGGGCTCCATGATCACTGCAGATGGAGACAGCAGCCCCGAAATTAAAAGACGCCTGCTTCTTGGGAGGAAAGCGATGACAAACCTCGACAGCATCTTAAAAAGCAGAGACATTACCTTGCCAACAAAAGTCCGATTAGTCAAAGCTAGGGTTTTTCCTGTAGTGATGTATGGTAGTGAGAGCTGGACCATAAAGAAAGCAGACCACCGAAGAATTGATGCCTTTGAATTGTGGTGCTGGAGGAGGCTCTTGAGAATCCCCTGGACTGCAAGAACAAACCTATCCATTTTGAAGGAAATCAAGCCTGAGTGCTCACTGGAAGGACAGATCCTGAAGCTGAGGCACCAGTACTTTGGCCATCTCATGAGAAGACTCCCTGGAAAAGACCCTGATGTTGGGAAAGTGTGAAGGCAAGAGGAGAAGGGGATGACAGAGGATGAGATGGCTGGACAGTGTCTGCGAAGCAACCAGCATGAAATCGACACAACTACGGGAAGCAGTGGAAGATAGGAGGGCCTGGCGTGCTCTGGTCCATGGGGTCATGACTAAACTAAACGAAACGCGCCTCAGTGGACGGGCCAAGCTCCCCTTGTGAGGCAAGTCCGCGACGAACTAGTCATTTGCTCCAGCACCAGATGGTATTTCCATTGAATAGCCCCAATGAGGGGCTAACACAAGACTCCGCGGGCACCATCCGCTCGCTATAAGGCAGCCGACGATTAGCTACAGGGCGGGCAACAACACCACGACGACCTCGACCGGCGTTTCCAAGAAGCCTCGTTACCGCCTCCGACCCTTCTCTGCCATTCCCGCCGAGGAAAGCAGGTCCGCAAGAGAAAGGGCGCGCGCTTCCAACGGAGAACGCTCATTGGTTAAGACCTTCGATCACTGACGTAGAGTTTGTCTGTTCGACTTTCCCTGTTACGTACCTGCCTCTTCCGCGCACAGCAACTTAAAGCTGAATGTGAAGGGGCCGTTTAAACGTCAGTTACGGACTCCTCCGCCTCTTACTTTGTCGAACTCGTCCCCGTTCGGCGGGTGACGAATGCGATTGGTTGTGACGCCTATCATTCAGCAAAGTGACTCAAAATCCAACGGCGTGTCCCCGTTGGCTAGTTTGGCGCTGAAGCAAAGCGGGCGGGTTTCGCGCGACCAATGGTGGGCGGGCCGTTTAGCGTTTCTTTGTGTGTGGGCACCAGTTGCCGGCCGCGAGCGCGCCTGAGGACGAGTGGGAGCCGCCATTTTATGCACTTCCTCTCCCCACCCCCCTTTCCCCGTTCTTTGCCGGTGAAGGTAGGCTGGCGAGCTACTCCCCCAACGAACCCCAGCCTCTAATCGCCTGCCGGTTTCGCCAGACTACAGCTGCCCCCTACCGGCGGCAGCGGCGGCAAGGAGACGGCTGCTGGCCGCCGCGCCTCCGGCATGGATAACTCCCAGCTATGTAAGCTGTTCATCGGGGGCCTGAACGTCCAGACGACGGAGGCAGGGCTGCGAGAGTACTTCGAGGCCTACGGGACCCTGACCGACTGCGTGGTGGTGCTCAACCCGCAGACCAAGCGCTCCCGATGCTTCGGCTTCGTCACTTATTCGGTCGTGGAGGAGGCCGACGCCGCCATGGCCGCCTCGCCGCACGCCGTGGACGGCAACGCGGTGGAGTTGAAGCGGGCCGTCTCTCGCGAGGACTCAGCCCGGCCTGGCGCTCACGCCAAGGTGAAGAAGCTCTTCGTCGGAGGCCTGAAGGGGGACTTGGGCGAGAACGACCTCATAGAGCACTTCAGCCAGTTCGGCCCGGTGGAGAAGGCCGAGATCATCTCCAACAAGCAGAGCGGCAAGAAGCGGGGCTTTGGCTTCGTCTACTTCCAGAACCACGACGCCGCTGACAAGGCCGCCGTCGTCAAGTTTCACCCGATCCAGGGACACCGCGTGGAGGTCAAGAAGGCCGTGCCCAAGGAAGACATCCAGGGCGGCGGCGGCGGTGGCGGCCGGTCAGGTTGGGGCGGACGGGGAAGAGGAAGGGGAGGCGGTGGAGGAGTCGGCAACCGGGACCACAACGGGCTGTCCAAAGGAGAAGGAGGCGGTTATAACAGTTATGGAGGCTACGGCGGCGGCGGCGGCTATGGCTCCTACGGAGGCGGCGGCTCGTACGGTGGCGGTGCCAGCGGTGGCGACTATGGCAACGGGTACGGAGGCTTCGGCAGCTACAGCCAGCATCAGTCATCTTACGGGCCCATGAAGAGTGGCGGCGGCGGCGGCCCCGGCGGCGGCTGGGGCCCCCGCAGTAACAGTGGACCCTACCGAGGAGGTTATGGCGGGGGAGGGTACGGAGGCGGCTCTTTCTAATGAGAATCTCCCCATGGCTCCGGGGATGTCGGTTTTGTCTGCATGGAGTATGCCCGCCGTTTATACCGGGCAGGTTTTCAATAAGTTTCCCTCCTCTTCGCTTACGGGCACCTCCATAGAAAAGGCTCCCACGATGCAAAGCAGCTTTCGGATCCCCTTGCTTGGGGTCGGCCAGCTGCCTGTGTTGCGTATTTCCGAAGATGAACTGGGCCTTTCACACAACTGTTTTGTGTTAGTCATTGATGGACTCTATTTTTTTATTGCTTGGACATTAGTAGTTTTTATACTAGGAACAAGATACTGTTTTAATTTTCGTTTATTTGGGTTTGGGAGGGAAAGTTGTGCTGATTCTGGAGTAAACCTGGGGAGGGAAACGGGAATTAACTTTGTACGGACTTGGATATCTACACATTTTTTTCTACAAAATTACTCTGGTTCCATGACTGTAAAAGGAGGGGGGAACGTTTTTACACTTTTATTTTTTAAATAAATCATTGTGTTCATTGATATTCACATGTCTTTTTTTCCTAGGATTCATTCCACACAGTTCAGACAAAAGCTTTTAGGTTTAAACCAGCTTATTTCTACTCAGATTTCAACATGTGGTTAGAATAAAATACTTCATTTCTAGTAAGAGTTTGACTTTCTTGCTGTCCTACTGTACTGGATTTCTTACTTCTTAACAATTGTAGGGCAGTTTTTTGAATGTCTGTTGATGGAGGGTTAAAATACTTTATTGTCCATCCACAGTGTATCATACTTGGCAGTTGTCTTGCTGACAGCTTGTCTGTTTAAGTATAGGGAGTAATCACCCATGAACATATGTGCTAACAAATGTATAGCATGCATTTTTATATTTTTGACTGTTCAAAATTTCACATTGCTCAGTTTCACACTGTTATTTATTGGCTTGCCTGTAAACAACCTATTATAAGGGAAAGTTTTTCATTAGTTATTTCCATTGCATCTTAGTTATTTCCATTGCATAGTGAAGTCATTGACTGCATATTACCTTAACCTTTCTGATCGAAGAAACCAAATATTCTTAGTAGTGCCATCTACTGGCAGAATAGTTGTCTATCCCTATTAAGTTTATTTGAACAGAATGAATTGGTTCTTTCATTAGGGCTTTAGATGACAAAGGCCAGACCTACATGTCAACACATTTCTTGGGCATGGGCTTAAATGATACATTTGAAACATTCATAAGTACATTGTACTAGGTTATTGTTAAATGACCCAGTAGCCCAAGGGCCAGTTGTAAATCAAAATCTCTGTAGTCTGTAGTTATGTACTTGTAGTCCTTCCCCACAGTAGAATTAAAAGTTTGTTGTTCTGTTAACAATGTTCAGAAAAGAAACTGCCTTCCTGGATAGAAGTATAGTATAGTTATGAATATTGCAAATAAAGAATTGAATTCTTCACATGCTTCAGTGAGTATGTATGAAATGGCTAAGTTGTTGCTGGCTTTTGAACTATTTAGACTTATTTCAATGTTTTATGCCCTTCTATGTGCTGTTTTCTGTTTCAGACAAAATTGCCTAAAGATTTTCCATAGATTTTCGTCCTAACTTGAGTTCATTTGATCCAGCAGGCTTTTAATAAGAATTTGCTGCAAGGTAAACTTTGGTTTGTACTTTATAACAGGTAGATTGTTAATGGAGATCTGCCCGAACACTGAACTAAGTTCCTGAGGATTCCTGCAGTCCCAACACATGTGAAAGAACATGTTATGTTCATAAACAGAGTTCAGTTTAGAAAAACAGACAAGTGTGATGTATAAATACAAGTACATTAGTATCACTTTCTATTGGTACTATCTAAATGAATCAAACTACACAAGTGGTTTCTGGTCCAGTCAACATTAGTTTTAAGTGGTGACATTAGTTTAATTCGTAGCTTTAAAGCTACTTCATACATTGGTGCATTTTCCTGTACAGAACAAATTTAGGTAAGGAAAAGAGAACTGTGTTGAGTTGTCTTGATTTTCAGCACAGAAAAATTTAGTAGAATAATATATCACACAAAGGGTTTGCACAACACAGTGTTCTGCTTTTCAAAAAAAAAAAAAAAAGTGGGAAGACCAGCCATAAAGTGAAGCAGGTCACGGAGAACCAGTTTTCTACATGTCTGGGACAAGACACTGAAATTAACTGATTCTTGGGTATGTTGTTCAGTCATATTGAAGCATATGAATTTCAGTGGTTTAAATATTATTACCTATGTCTAGTTTTCTGGTGTCCTTGACCTTAAAGGGAAGATAAGAAATCTGGGGATCACAGGCCAGACCTTTGAGTGTTTAGACACAATGTCTAGAACACTTGTTTGCTTAGTAAATATAACTTTGTTGTGGATTAGTAGCCTAAGTCTGGTATTTGTAGACTTCTCCAGCTAAAGGAAATACATACTGTATGATGTGTCTTAGTGCAGTGGGAACACGGGACTGTAACAATGAAAAAAAGAATTTGGGAGTGTGAAATCATGGAGTGCTTTGACACAGTCAATGGTAGGCATAGTTTTTTTAGGTCTTTTATGTCAGTGTAACCTTTAGTAGTAAGGTAATTTCATTTGGATTTTATTGTTATATTTGAGTGTGCATGTAGAGGAAGTAGAATTTGGACTGTTGCACAAATGCAAACTTCTGAAAAATATTAGCTGTGAATATTTCTGTTGAATGAATGAATGCCAAACTGGTGGTATTGACATCTCAAGCAACATCAGTATATGATGGTACTCATTTATGCTGGTTTAAGCAGACATTTGCAGAATACAGTACATTCTTGGACATTAGTTGGAAATGCTGTTCCACATGGATCTGTATATTCTTCCAACAAGAGCATCATGGTGATATATTACATTTTAGGTCTCTTTAGAGAGAACTGCATGCTTTTGAAACCTGTAGGGTTGTACATGGAACGGCAAGGTTGTGACATGCATATTAAACTGCTTATTTAGGCAGTTTAGTTCCATGTATAACCCTACAGGTTTCAAAACCATGCAAATTTCTCTAAAGATACCTAAAAGTGTAATATATTACCATAATTCTCTTGTAGGTAATTTAGTTCCTAAAACCCACCTGTGCATTGAGAAATATGTAGAAGGTCCAATCCTATAATTCTCTGTTGTTATATTAGATGAATATGGCCGAAATCCACCAGTGTAACTTCTGCCGTGGAAGGCTGATGATGTCATGAACTGTGGTAGGTTTTTCAGAAATTAAAAATTTCTGATCTCCTTTGAAGGTCCTGAGTGCCTCCATCCCCCAGTAATTCCCTTTGCTGTAGAGAAGCTGTTGGGTGCTGCAGCACAGGTGCATTTTTTATTTCAGAAAACTGCCTGCAGGATGATTTTACCAGTGGGGATTTTTGGAAATTAAAGATTCCCCACAAGAATAGGATTTCCACCTGTGTGTGCTAGTTCACCTCTTTAAGCTTGGCAGAGTTGCAGGGTACAGCTGAAGACCAATAGTTTTGTATGGATCCTGATAAATTGCAATAGCTTACCATAACCATGTAATATTTGTGGATGTACCTTGTACTGTTGGATAGCTGAGTGGTTTGGGCATCTGGCTGCAGAGTCAGGTTGGGACTTGATTCCCCACTGAGCCTCCTTGACAGGTGCTGGACTTGATGATCCACAGGGTCCCATACATCTCTGCATTTCTAAGATGATCATCATCACCAAGCTGTGTCATAGATTTCAAAGGCGGCTTATTTTAACAGTCTTTAAAGTTAATAGAGTCTTAATGTCTTAGCCCCATAAAAGTTTTATGTGGTTGAACTTAGTTTTACTGTATTTTCTTTGCTTAAATCAAGTTCAGAAGTTTAGTTACTCATAAATCTAAACTGAAGATGGGAGAGTAAAGAGGTGAAGTTGAAATACATTTTGCTTGCTTTAGTTAAAATGCTCTTGAATAATTATGCTGGCCTCATGCAAGTGGTAAGTTGCTTCAATCTGAGAAATCACCATTAATATTAACAATTAACAATCAGCATGCAATAGTTAATGTTGATAGTTGAGAGATTTTTCCCCTCCATTGTTAATGCCATTTATGTTGTGCCCAACCGCATTTAGGCTTTCAACTTCTAATGCTTTTATTTTACATTATGGCTTACTAGTTACTATTTTGGTCAGTTAGAAATCTTAATAATTTGGGTGCCTAGTAGATATCCCTTTAAAATTTATGAAATCTGTGCAGTAAAGGCAAAATTAAAATCAGGATGAAGATGCTTTAAATACCATATGTGTGAGAAAGAACACTTCATAGCATGAATTGGCAGACTTCACATTATTAGGATCCACTTTGTTGTCCTCCAACATCATTTAGAATTCATATACTTGAAGAGAAATACTGTACAGTATATGCATATGAATATCGAAACAAAAAAAAACCTCAGCCTTACTACTCAAAACTCCACTCCACACTTTTAATTTCAGCAGTGTAATCCAGGCTCAGTGTCTCTTCTGTATTGTATATACTGTATTGGATGAATGTTATGTATTGAACGAATGGCAGAACAACTTTAACCAAGAGGTGGATTTTTTTAAAGGCCTTCATCAACTACTATTGTGACACATTTCATAGAGGATGATGTAACACCACATGCCTTGTCATTCTGACTTGAAACAAAGATAGGATTTTAGATGAGAAATGGAAATCCTAGAGTGAATGGACAGAACTATGCCATACACTTAAATACACAGGTTAAAATGTTTTGAGATCAGATATATTACTCATATATGTTCAGTAGCTCTTTTCTTGAGGACTTTGGTTGCTGTTTGTAACATTCAATATGTACTTTAGAAAGCAAGTAATTCTAAATACACAACATAGTAACAAACCTTGTTTTCAGTATTTGCATATATTAGATAATTTGTAAAACTTTCTAAAGCTAAGGTAAATTTATATGTGTAGGCATCTCTTACTGACTTGTATTTATGAAATAGAGATAAATCAGAAAATAAGATGAGTGATATTAAAGTAGCTCAAAATCCTGTGAACCAAATGGGTTGGTTTGGATTTGAATGAGCTTCTGTGAGGGACTAGTCATTTTAATACACAATCTCAGTTTTCTATTGAATCCAATGTTTCTATTCTGAAAAACTGAAGAAATTAGAGTGATTGTACTGTGCCAACAACTCTCTGGAAAGTGTCTTTATTCATTATTTGTAATGTGTGTGGAGCCTATATCTGCTGGCAGTGGATGAGTCTTGGCACATAGTTGGATCTCTTTGAAGTCAGCAAACACTGTAAAAACATATACTGTAGTGGCACTAGTCTTTGTATAGTTGTGTTGCTCAAATGTAAAAATGGTATAAAAAAGCCTGGCTGTGCCGTGTGAATGTAATTATTTTAACATTCAAAATGGAACCGCAGACACAACTTCTCTGATGTGGCATTGCACACAAGACTTAATATCAGGAAACTTCCAGGATAATCTGATTTTAAAAACTTCTAAATTGTTTTATAACAATTGCCTGCTAGTTTTGTAACAACTGCTGGCTAGCAGTGCTGGAAATAGCATCTTGCAATACAGGGTATTAAGATAAAAATAGATCAGCACGTTTATATTGTACTGTATATTATTCAAAGATTAAATAATTAGATAATGCTGAGATCTTTAAGAGTTCAATATTCCAAACAAATCTTCCCATTTGAGTAAGTGTGATAAGATGCTGTACCATGTTCACTATTTAATGCACATGAAGTCTGGAGGTTTAGTTTGTTATTGGCTTTAATTTATCGTCAGAACTTGAATGATGGTAATTTTTTTTACAAGGTCTTACATGAATTTATGAGGGGTACAAATAAATATTGAATGGGAAGGATTGTTTTAATTCAAGTGTGGCTTTATAATTAGTGCTGAGAAGGGAGGATGTAACTGACCAGTCCTTGTATCAAGGTGCACATTTTCTCTCTGAATCTGGAGTTAGCCATCCTTTGTATTACGTATGTAGGATGTTGAAATGATGATAAATAACATACATCCGGTACCACAAGAGTTTTGAATTAATGTTTTGGCAAGTTTTGTTTCTGTTTTTCAAGTTATTAAGCATTCTTAATTACTTGAAAAGCAGAAGTTTTGGCCAGAATTCCAGCATAATTTTGTATGATTTCATTTTATGAACAGCTCTTCATTCTCTGTGGCAAGCAGGAATCAGTGGCCTAGAGGCCTCATCCCTGCCTCATTTTGGGTTTACTAGTCTGGAAGTAAAATTCTTCATTCTTATTAATTATATAGGCTTAAAAACTAATCAAAGATGCCTCTTTTTTTCTTGCTGTCTTATGTAACAAAAAAATAAATATGCGCAACTTGCCTGTTTTGGTATCAAAAATATTTTCATTGCTCAATTTCAGTCGTATTGCTAAAAACACAGGAACCCATTAAAAATAAAATTATTTTAGGAGACTTTAAAAATGTAAAAGTGATATAACAAGAAGTGGTAGAAATAATCCACTTGTCTTCTAAGAGTGTATTACTGAGTTATTTACCAACCCAAAATGTTGTTGTTGTTTAAACTATTAAATCTGATTTTAAAAACTTCTAAATTGTTTTATAACAATTGCCTGCTAGTTTTGTAACAACTGCTGGCTAGCAGTGCTGGAAATAGCATCTTGCAATACAGGGTATTAAGATAAAAATAGATCAGCACGTTTATATTGTACTGTATATTATTCAAAGATTAAATAATTAGATAATGCTGAGATCTTTAAGAGTTCAATATTCCAAACAAATCTTCCCATTTGAGTAAGTGTGATAAGATGCTGTACCATGTTCACTATTTAATGCACATGAAGTCTGGAGGTTTAGTTTGTTATTGGCTTTAATTTATCGTCAGAACTTGAATGATGGTAATTTTTTTTACAAGGTCTTACATGAATTTATGAGGGGTACAAATAAATATTGAATGGGAAGGATTGTTTTAATTCAAGTGTGGCTTTATAATTAGTGCTGAGAAGGGAGGATGTAACTGACCAGTCCTTGTATCAAGGTGCACATTTTCTCTCTGAATCTGGAGTTAGCCATCCTTTGTATTACGTATGTAGGATGTTGAAATGATGATAAATAACATACATCCGGTACCACAAGAGTTTTGAATTAATGTTTTGGCAAGTTTTGTTTCTGTTTTTCAAGTTATTAAGCATTCTTAATTACTTGAAAAGCAGAAGTTTTGGCCAGAATTCCAGCATAATTTTGTATGATTTCATTTTATGAACAGCTCTTCATTCTCTGTGGCAAGCAGGAATCAGTGGCCTAGAGGCCTCATCCCTGCCTCATTTTGGGTTTACTAGTCTGGAAGTAAAATTCTTCATTCTTATTAATTATATAGGCTTAAAAACTAATCAAAGATGCCTCTTTTTTTCTTGCTGTCTTATGTAACAAAAAAATAAATATGCGCAACTTGCCTGTTTTGGTATCAAAAATATTTTCATTGCTCAATTTCAGTCGTATTGCTAAAAACACAGGAACCCATTAAAAATAAAATTATTTTAGGAGACTTTAAAAATGTAAAAGTGATATAACAAGAAGTGGTAGAAATAATCCACTTGTCTTCTAAGAGTGTATTACTGAGTTATTTACCAACCCAAAATGTTGTTGTTGTTTAAACTATTAAAGTCGTGACCCCATGGACCAGAGCACGACAGGCCCTCCTGTCTTCCAGCCTAAAATAGTGATTTTTAAAATATTGAGTAGGAAATAAGTTTATTTAGCATTAATGGAACATCAAATAAGTCAGTTTAAGGTTGTAGCACAGTTTGCACAGGTAATGAGGAAACACGGTGTATGGGCATTCTAACCAGTATGACTTTATAAAGTTCAGATTTTTTTGAGAGAACTTGGAAATAAACAAAGATAATAAACATATTGGAATGTTTGAGTCTGTAATGTATACACATCTTGTTTTGTGAAGTTTAATAGGTTAATTTGTCCCAGAAATGCATAAATAGACTGCTTTATTTCTGCTGAATATTACATCATGCAATAGATGGAAATCATTTACTGAATCCACACTGCCAAATGGATTTAAATATAGAAAAATGAACAAATAGGGAAAACACACAACTGGCAACATTTACTCGATATATGCAGTGAAAAGCTGTCATTATGAAGTATAAATACAGATGAGACTCAAAATGGGTAGTACCCTGTTTCCCCGTAAATAAGACCTAACCTCAAAATAAGACCTAGTATGATTTTTCAGGATGCTCGCAATATAAGCCCTGCCCCCAAAATAAGCCCCAGTTAAGTGAAACCCCACCCTCCACCATTGTGCAGCAGCATGACTGTATTTGAGTAACTAGATGGTTGTACATAAAAAAATAAAATATCCCCTGAAAATAAACCCTGAGGTGTTTTTTGGAGCAAAAATTAATATAAGTGTCTTATTTTCAGGGAAACACGGTAATTATGAGGTGCTGAAGTTATGGTTTGGCTATTGTATCTCAAATGATGATGTGGGGCTATGAGATTGCTGTTTGCCTAAGATGACTTGGTTTATAAGGTTCTTGGTTCTATAAATTCATAGAATTAGGGTGTTGGCGGGTAATTTGGCTACTACCATCCATCTGTATAGCTGAGTGTTCCATATTCAAATATCTCCTTGTAAAATAGAAGCATAAAGAGGAAAAAAGTATGTTCACCAGCAACAGATCTATTTATTCAAGTACTTTAGTATCCTGTTTTCAGAAGTAAAACCCTTCAAAGACCAGCTTACAATGTAGAATAAATCTGAAATAATTGAGATTTCCATAAAACAATCTTAATACAATTATGAGATTTAAAAACAGCCATTTAAAATAATAAAATATGAACAGCACTTTCGTCTGGGTGGTTGAAACAGGGTGGCCTCCATTCTCCAATTTTAGGGGATGTTTGAGATTACAAAAAAGTACCCGGCCTAAGAATTATAGGGAATTTCTAATTCATGCCTATAGTTTTGGTGGTTATTGGTAACAGGTTTGGAGGGTGTGCCCATGCCACTGGGGGCCATGTTCGGCAGGTCATGCTTTTCATTTAGTAAGCATGATTGATTAGGTTCCAAGGATGGCTTTAGCACTTTCTCTTAATCTGCAATGGAAGTTCTAGCTGCTTCTGAAAACCCGTCAATCTCGCTTTTGATCCTTCATTAGGGAGTTCATTTGTTTAGTCATTTAGTCGTGTCTGACTCTTCCTGACCCCATGGACCAGAGCATGCCAGGCCCTCCTATCTCCTACTGCCTCCCGGAGTTGTCAAACTCATGTTGGTTGCTTTGCAGACACTGTCCAGCCATCTCATTCTCTGTTGTCCCCTTCTCCTCTTGCCTTCACACTTTCCCAACATCAAGGGTCTTTTCCAGGGAGTCTTCTCATGAGATGGCCAAAGTGTTGGAGCCTCAGTGATCATGGAGCTGAAGAAAGTGAAATCTGTCACTGCCTCCATGTCTTCCCCTTCTATTTCCCAGGAGGTGATGGGACCAGTGGCCATGATCTTAGTTTTTTTTGATGTTGAGCTTCAGACCGTTTTTTGCGTTCTCCTCTTTCACCCTCATTAAGAGGTTCTTTAGTTCCTCCTCACTTTCCGCCATCAGAGTGGTATCATCTGCATATCGGAGGTTGTTGATATTTCTTCCGGCAATCTTGATTCCGGCTTTCCTCCAGTCCTGCCTTTCGCATGATGTATTCTGCATATAAGCTGAATAAGCACAGCATCCCTATTAGCTTCTTCCGTGACCTCTCGGTTTTTTTGCCCCACTAGTATGGTATGACACGTTCCACGTGGATTGCTACCAGGCCGAACCTTTTGGAATAGGATGAGGATGAAATCCAGGTAAGAAATGGCAGAACAAAAGTTCTGAGAAAGTGAGGCAGACCGGTGTGTAGAGCAACCAGATCAAGGGGGAAAGCACGCCGCTGCTTTTCGCTTTCTTTGCTGCATCTGAGACCACGCCTCTTCGGTGCACGCCTCTCTCTCTCTCTCTCTCTCTCTCTCTGTATATATATATATATATATTTGAAGTGCTTGAAGGGATGCCCTGCAAATGTGACAGCTGGGGCGGGGCCATGTACCTATGGCCACAGCTGCCGTTGCCAGGCGACTGAGTAGCGACCGTGGAGCGAGAGGCGGCGGCGGCGGCAGAAGGGAGTGGGCAGCTGAGGCTGGAGCGGGAGCAGCAGCGGGGAGCTCTGGGTAAGGAGTGCTCGGCTCGCTGCTGCAACGTTAAGCTGCTGCCGCTGTTGCTGTTGCTGCTGCTGCTGCTTTAGGAGCGAGAGGAAGCGGCGCCGAGGAGAGAAGCCGACCGCCCGCTGCAGCCATGCTGAATCAGAGGCGCTGATTAATTCGCCCCGCTCGCGGCGCGCCTGGAGTGCAGGCAGGGAGGACGGCAGGAGAGGCGGCGGCGGCGGCGGCGCCCGAGGACAGGAGCCGAGGGTGCATGCAGAGTTCAAGCTCCGCTCCGGCTGCGCACAATGGACGACGAAAGGTGGGTGCCGCTCGGCTCCGGGGCGGCGGGTGGGGGGGGGTGCGGTGGGGGGGTGTATGCGGGTGTCGGTGGCGGGAAGAGTGCCGGCGCCTTTGTGCCGGCGGCGAGGGGATGGCGGTGCGTTTCCGGACTTCCTGGTGGCCGGGACAATTGCCGGAGAGGAGAGGGCGATCATTAACATCTCTGTGAAGTTGGCTATAATAATACTACTACTAATAATAATACTCATAATAGCCTTCCGGGCGACGCGGTTTATGTGCGTGGACTTGATGTCACGGCCACAAACATTCCATCCTCTCCCTTAAAGATTGTCACCCTCCCCTGGTTTGGTATGTGTGTGTGTGTGTGTGGGGGGGGGTATTGATGTTCATCACGGAATCCCATCCCTTGTCCAGGTCCTCCCCCCTCCCCCCCGACTTCCTGTCTCCCGTGGCCCCCCAAAGGGGTTTCCCTCGCTCCTTCCGTTTCCCTTTCTGTGTGCAGGTTTTAACATCCCGTCACGAGCAACTCCTTCCCCTGGAGCCCCCCCTCCCCGCCGCCCAGTTGTTGCTGTTGCTGTTCTGCAGTCATAAGAATCTTTCCTTGAAAAGGACTGCCCGTGATTTCCTTCTTGCTGGGGGAAAAAGCTTTTTAGTAGAGTAACTTATTTTTGGCTCGAATCAAAAAGATGGTGAAGCGAGGAAGTGAGCTTGCGTGCGTGTGAGGTTGAGTGGCTGACGTGCGATTCCTAGGCAGTGGCCGGCCAGGCACGAGAATGCAAGAGAGCAGTCATGACATACCCTGTGCTTTGGAGTCTACTATGAACTCTGCTGTGAAGGTTCTCTCTCCTCCACCCCCGTTTTTCTGGAATTCACTTTCTAATTTGCAAAGGCATGCCTTGGCATGGCAGTGACATAGGTGAAAGGCAAAGCTGTTTGCCTTAATAAAATTCAGAAATCTGCAGGAAGTGTATGTATGCATGTAAGTAAGTCTGGAGCCTATGCTTAAAACAGTTGCTATGGAAACATTAACATTTTAGTAAAGCGACATAAGGTTGATTCACACAGTCTTCTAGTGTGGGATGGTCATCGCTACAGCTCTCTTTATTTTTATGAGCAAAACTGCTAACAGAACTCTTTAACCTGTGTAGGCATCCAGTGTGTAGCCCACCTGTGGCTCTCTCTGCTTCCTGTGGCCTCGAATGCCTGTGCCCTATGTGGGCTGGTCATGGCAGCAGCATCCTAGTGAAAGCAGAATTTACCTGGGTGAAGTTACAGTGATTGCAAGAATGCATTGGCCAGATAGGTTTCTGGTATGCAGTTTACTGGCCCTGAAATAATTGTACACACTTCCACTTTGTTTTTAAGCACAGTTCAAGGTGCTGATTTTGACCTAAAAGCCTTAACCTGCTTTAGGTTAGTCCATATGAAAGATTGCCTCTTGCCTTATGAGCCTGCCTGGACTTTAAGGGTCTTTTGTGAACTGCTTGATCTGAAGACCTGAGATAACACCACCTCAGTTATGGAGCTCTCTCCTAAAAGAAGTTAGTCTGGTAATATAGTTGCTGAGCAGGCAGTCAAAACCACACTATTTAGTATGGTCTTTGTTTTTAAAAACTGGTTTAAACATCGACTTCCAAAAATAGTTTAAAACTTCTTTTTGATGATGGCTTAAAAAACCCCCAGTGTCATTGTACATTGTATTGGGAGCCTTGCTGGGCAGAAAAGCAATTAGCAGATACTTATACATTGTATTCACATAATCAAGCAGTAGGACAGGGCATGATAATATAATCACAGCGAATGGTCTTCTGATGTTCTGTGATCAGATGAGGAGGAGACTGTGACATAGTAATATCATTATTTAAGGAAAGAAGTGCAGAAAGTGAACCTGTGCTTACGATTCAGTTCCTGCTGATGTATGCCAAAACAAAGTGTATTCTCTCCACATCCAGCTGATTATTTATATTCCCCCATTCTGGGGGACATGGTGGCACTGTGGGTTAAACCACAGAAGCCTCTGTGCTGCAAGGTTGGAAGACCAGCAGTTGTAAAATTGAATCCACATGACGGAGTGAGCTCCCGTCGCTTGTCCCAGCTCCTGCCAACCTAGCAGTTTGAAAGCATGTAAAAATTCAAGTAGATAAATAGGTACCACCACAGTGGGAAGGTAACGGCGTTCTGTGTCTAGTCGTGCTGGCCACGTGACCACGGAAACTGTCTATGGACAAATGCTGGTTCCACGGCTTCGAAATGGGGATAGGCACCACTCCCTAGAGTCGGACATGACTGGAGTAAATGTTTCTTTTCCTTGTTCAATTTTTTTAAAAAAATTATTTCTAAAGAAAAGACAATCCATCATGTTACAAGTAATAAATACAAAGCTTAACATAGTAAGCTGTCATCTTACTTGTTATATAATTTAACTGTTGACCAATTGGTATTCCCCACATTTCTCGAAATCAGATGTACACCATTGCCCATCCCATCTTAAAGAAATATCGACCAACAATCTAAATGCTCCAAATTGTTTTCCAAACCACGTGTCTCGAGATTTATTTTATTGACATATTTTAATAAAGGCTCCCAGTTTTCAGTGAATTGACTGTGCCTTATTTCTCCTCTGCATAGTCTAACTTTATTAGTCATTTTTCCATCAACATTGTTGAAAGAAATTGAAAAAAAAATATGACTGGACTAATTTTCAAGGGGAACCTTTACCTATACCTATTCTGGTTGTTTATATCTGATTCTTTAAATCTTAGCCATTCTGACATTTTTTTGCACAGCTAAATGGACAGAAGTGTAGAACATTTACAGATCCATAATGAATGTACTGTCTTTTAAAGCAAAGATGACAGGTGAACAGGCAAGCAGTAGTAAGTGCAGGGTTGACGTCTAGCAGAAGAGCCTTACCTTGGAATAATATTGTTTACTTATAATGACTGCTTGGCTGAAGTATGATGATCAGAAGTCATGTACAAAACATGTTTTGCATTTTACAGTGGTGCCTCAATTTACGACCATAATCCATTCCAGAAGATGGACGTAACTCGAAATGGTCGTAGGTCGAAGCATGCGTTCCCATAAATGCATGGGAAAACAATTAATCCATTGTGACCACAAAAAAAACCCAAATAAAATAAAAATAAAACACAGCAAGCCCCACAGGAACGCGCTGGGGCTGCAAAAAACAAACAAACAAAAAACTAAACCACAACCCAAAAACAAACAGAGCAAGTCCCATGCTGGGACTGCAAAAAAAAAAATCACCTAAAAACAAACAATAACACAGCAGAGAAATATAACCCACCCCAGCCCAAGACCACCCTGCAAAACCTACCCGGAACAGTTTTTAAAAAGCAAACAGCAGCATCTTACCTTAACAAGCTTCCTTTAGTGCTGCCTCCGGGATCCGGGATCGCGGGCCCCTCCGCCCCCGTGCCGAGAAGAGGCGAGGAGCGCCGAGGTCTGACACGGCCGCCCTGGCGAGCAGCTGAAGGAGCCAGTGCTGGAATGGGATGGGGCGTCGGGCACACCCGGTGGGCGAGCCACCTGCTGCTCAGGGACACAGCAGCGGCATCGGCAACGCAGAGGCCAGTAAGGAGCGCTGAGGGATGCCCCCGCCACCACCTTCCCTGCTCCTGCATCCCTTTCCCGAACTGTAGGGGCGAAAGAGCGACAAAGAAGCAGCCTCTTTGCCACCAACGGTTTGAATTCCCCGCCTTTTTCCCATGCCTTTTTTTTGTTGTTACTCTAAGCTCCGGCGGTAAGTCAAAGCAAAATTTTGTGGCTGGAGCTGGTCATAACTCAAAATGGTTGTGAGTAGGGGGGCGGTCGTAAGTCAAGGCATCACTGTACTAGTGTTTCCCATCAGGCACAATCAAAACACATTTTTGATAGGATTAAAACTGATGGAAACAATGGACATATCACATTTGCTTCTGACATTCTTGGAATAACAGAATGTATGGAGTCCTTCCTTCTTCATTCTGTGGACTGTACTACATTAAAAAAAGGTTACTGAGCATCCAAAAAATAAAAAAGTTGAAGCGAACAAGAGCAGAGTTGAGAAAGACTACAACTCCCAGAATAGACAGTGTGTCTAGTGGCTATGATGGCTGAGATTTCTGGGAGCTATTGTCCAATATGACTTTTGAGAGGAGAACTGCATTTTCCCATTGCATTGTTTCCTTTAGTTTATGCAAAATAATTAAGTCCCATTGAAGGCAGTATGATATAACAGATTTGAATAAGGATAGCATCACATTCCTGTATAGTGGATGTGTATGAGTGGAGTGCTAGTGTGATTGGCAGCTGAAGGTCTGAATGCTGTGGGAGTGAGGTCTGTGTGTCAGTTTGGAGTTAGAAAGAGATAAAAAATCTTTAAAAATATAGCAAATAGAACAGAGGAGCTAAATAAAGTTAGATGTCTGTTTTATAGTTTGTCAGAAAAAGTAGTCTTTGCTGGAGTTTATTAAGAGAAGTCTGTATAGCTTAGTGTGTTTGAGTCAAAAAGATTGACAGTTTGTAAAGAAAGTGTTTTAATCTTTAAATATAGAAGAAATATATTTACATTTTATTGTTATTTAACCATTATCATTCATACCTTAGAGACTGCCTTTCCCTTCACTCCAATTACTGTATCTGTGGGCCCTCAATAAAAACCCTGTTTGTTTGTTTGACCAAATCCTCCTCATTATTTATTTTGTATATAATTTAAGAATAAGTAAACCAGACTACAAACAGAGAGAAATGCACCCATGGCACATGAAGCTGCGCTTTACTGCAGGAACATAGGGTTTAACTGAGATTAAGAAAACCTTTCACTAAACACTTGAATCATCCAAAATGCTGCTTCAGGGAAAAGGAGGCTCTGCCTGCGAAAAGTATAGAAGGAACAATCTCAAAATACTTGTCTGTGGGTTTGGGGATGGTGATTCTTTCAGGTTAAAATTACCGGGTGATGCCTGAACCCCTTCAGGAGTGTGTGACCCAGCTAGCATGAAAATCAACAGAAAG